TATGCAAAATCCCATACACAGTGATTTTAGGAAAATATATAGCGCATAAAAAAAGAAACAGAACAAAATTAGTGCTTTACCATAAATAATTCAGGCTATTATTTTAATTTTCCTTTCAATTTATATACAAAGATATCATTGAGATACCTAAAAATACATGATTAATTCACTATGCTTTCATTCTACAGATTCAGATGTGGATGATTATAGAGAAAGTGATGAGATACTAGTTATCTCAACAACAGAGATTAATTCGAGTGCATTAATGTGTACAATTCACCTTAAACTAAATTTTGATAGGTATTAAAACTGAAGTACACAGTTATTCTAAAGTAATTTGGATGCAACCAACTGAATCTCTATTAATAGTGCATAGGTAAGATATGTGAAAAACTAATTATCTATTTAAAAATACAGAGGAGGACTTTTATTGTTGGAAATTATTATCTTAATCCAATTAAAATAGACTTTAAAAAAACCTTTTTGTGGTAGAAATTCCCAAGATGATGACATAGGAGGCTTCTAGTTTCCATAGGAACTCCCCTCCTCCTACAAATGCACTGAATGTACAGCTTCACACAGAGCAATTTCCTCTGAAAGAAATCCAGAAACTAGCTAAGTGACTCCTACACATTGAAACAGTGGGAAAGGTTGAGACACACTCTCGTCATAAACCCCAACCCCAGCAGAGTGCCATACAATCTGGAGTGAGCTCCCTGCTTCCAGCTGTGGAAGCACAGTATAACAAAACTTATGAGATGCAGCAAAAGCAATTCTAAGAAGAAAGTTTATAGTAATAAACACCTACATTAAAGAGAAAAAAGTCACAAATAAGCACCCTACATTTACACCTCAAGAACCTAGAGAAAGAAAAACAAACTAAACCCAAAGTCACCAGAAGGAAGGAAATAACAAAGATCAGAGCAGAAATAAATGAAATAAAAACCAGAAAAAGAATAGAAAGCATACAAAAAAAATTAAGAGCTGGTTTTTGAGAAGATTAAAAAAAATGACGTCTTTAGTTAGACTAAGATAAAAAGAAAGAGGACTCAAATAAATAAAATTATATGTGAAAGAGGAGACATTACAACCAACACCACAGAAATACAAAGGATCATAAGAGACTTCTATGAACAATTATACACCAACAAATTGGACAACCTAGAAGAAATGGATAAATTCCTAGAAACATAGAACGAACCAAGGCTGAATCAGGAAAAAATAGAAAATCTGAATAGATCAATAATGAGTAAGGAGATTGAACCTCTCAACAAAGGAAAGCCCTGGACCAGATGGTTTCACTGGTGGATACTACCATATATGTAAAGAACAATTCTATTTTATCAATTAAATCTCAATAAAGTTGGAAAAAAACACTTTTGTTTGTAAAATTGTATAGAATCAATGTTCAGCTGAGTTTCTTGGTAACAAATATGCCCTTTGAAAGGTGATGAAACATTGAAATTAACCCAAGTCCTGCGTTCTTGTTCCTTTGATAAGTTAAAACACTAAATTATTGCTATAAATACTATAATAAATGATATAATGTAAATAATTATTATTCATTGCTAAATGCAATTAATAGCAAATACAACCTCAAAAAAATCAAGCTTTTATTTATAAAGTAAAGAATTGATTTCCTAAAGAGCATTTAAAATGTCAGAGAAATTAATGAAGTATTTATAAATAATATAATGTGATAATAATTAGCAGGATTTAAACACTTACCATGTACAAGACACTAGTCTGATTGTGAAAGTTGATTTTATTCTCACAAGAACTCTTTGATGTAAGTATTGTTATTGCCCCTTTTCATCAAAGAAGAAACTGAAGTAAAGGGAGATTAAATAATTAAATGCCCAAACTCACAGCTAGTAAGTGATAGAGACAGATGTGAAATCCATTCGGACAGCAGAGCCTGTGCTTCTAATATGTATGCTTTGTTGACTCTCTGCTAATGTTCGATTAACTTTTGTCTTAATCCCCAGGATAATTATAAAATTACAATATGCTACTGTAAATTAGATTTTGCTTCCGTAATGGTTTACCAAATAGAAGATGCTCACAACTTTCTCAGGAAACTGAGCACATTATTTTTGCCAGTTGAAATTCATTCAATAGAAATATGATACATTAGGTACCTCTAAGGATTTCTTAAAGTGGAAATATGTATTTACTAGGACTAGACTTGAAAGTACTAGATCTAAGAGATTGCTTTGGGAATGTGAAAAGGTCATTATTCGCTGGCTTTCCAGTAATTTATTTTGAATTTGTTAAATTCATTGATGTGTGAACTGGTTATCAAAGCTTGATAAACAGTTTATAAATCACTTTGAAGTTGGCAGAAATAAATATTAATGAGTCAATTTTCAATGAATTTAAAGCCAGTTTCTCCTTCTTCTGTCACCATAAGTAAAAAAGAGAATCTCAGTTGTTTTATTTAGAAAAAAGTCTACAATTTATCAGTAATTATTGATGTTTCTCAAGATAGTCATAAGACTATTTCTTATATGAATGTTTCTCAAGATAGTCATAAGACTATTTCTTATATGAAATCGAACTCTTTGCTTAAAAGAAAAGAATGGTCTTTGAAAAGCCACCAAGGAGTTTCATATGACAAAAGTTTTGTTTAAAATTTGTTTATAAAACACAAGCACGACGATGATTCTAGCCCATTGAGATACTAAAGTAACCTGCTTCACTGTTTTCTCAGGACTGGCTTCAGAACAGGGAAAGAAAAAAGCAAGTTCTCAGGTAGCAACTACCTTGTCAGATCCTTACCCTCGTTATCTCCCTTAAACCATGACTGCCCCTTCTTCACCCAGGCAAGTCAGACTCAAAAGGTTTTAGCAGCTTGCCCAGGTCACATGTCTAATGAGTAGCAAAATCACGATTTGAAAATATGTCTAGTTAACCACAAACCTGTGTTATTTTAGTCTTTGATATAGAAAAAGTAATTTTCTCTGTGATGATTTTTAAGGATACCAAAGCCTCTCCAGGTCTCCAAAATACATAATAAGAAGGATCTTAAAAATAAATTCAGGGCCAGCCCCGGTGGCCTAGTGGTTAAGTTCCATGTGCTCTTCTGCAGTGGCCCAGGTTCAGTCCCTGGGTGCAGATCTAGACCGCTTTGTTAGCCGTCATGCTGTGCTGGCAGTCCACATACTAAAAAATAGAGCAAGATTGGCATGGATGTTAGCTCAGGGTGAATCTTGCTCAGGAAAAAAGAAATCTATCTACTTATATACATTAGAAAACCTTGGCCCTGAATGATTAAATGGCATTCCCCAAACTAATAATCAAGTCTGGACTTGGTTTCAGATTCCTTGTGCCTGTTTTCCCTTTGGAGATACTCAATATCATAATACTGACATTTTGTTTCCTCGATCTAAATGCTTATTCCTCATAATTATGAAATACTTGAAACCTCAGAAATCTTTATACTCTCATTTTGAGTGTTTTACTATATCCCTTTCAAAAGTTCTGGCACATATCTGATCTCTGTAAAGGAATGAGAGATTGCAAAAAAGACCAAGACCGTGATATATGGTTGGGAACATTATTCACTGTATAAGAACACCCAGCCGAATGGAACAGTGAGTGGGAGTTGAAATCCAGCTCACACTCTACCTGACAAGCCATATCATGGTGTGGCTTCCATCTAAAGAGGGCACCATTTCTAATTTGCATAAAGGTACCGTATAAGTGCACACAGGCTCTGCAAAAACCCTGAAAGTTAAGAAGAAAAAGGGAGAAGGTGGTTAGACATACAGATTTTCAGATCCAGTTTCTATCAGAAATTAATTTAAGGAACTGACTTAGAAAGTTAATAATGAGAACGTTTATTAATTCGGTAAATCAGTGCCAGAGTGGGGAGATGTATTCTGTTGGCACTGAGGAGTCTAATTTTATTTCGTGAGAAAAGATTTAGGATAAACATCAGCAGCGTGTCCTATTTCACTGTGTGGGATATGAGAACTATTACTAAGGGAGCCTGTGACTATTTAAGAAAATAGCTTTACGGAAGGTGGGGGAAACAGAAAACTCTCATGTCCTTTGATTTGATGTTTCTGGTTCTTGAAGTCTTCTTGGAATAAAACATCGTGATGCTGTATATACCACACTTTGAAAGATCTTCACACCATCACTGTGACAGATTTTGGAGAGTCTCTGAAGAAATACTTTTGAACATTAAGCTATCAAGTCTTCACTTAATGAATACATAACTGAATTTTCTCTTTTAAAGCTGAATTCCTTTGAAACACTAACTATCCATTTTTTGAATACTGCGTACCATACTATGTAGTTTGCATACATATTGCCTATCTTCCCCAAAAAGAACACTCTAAAATTTATATTACTCTTCTTTCTTTATCAATGAGGAAATTGAGGCTCAAAGAAGCTAAGGGACTTTCAAACTACTGCCAGACCGCAGATTCAAATTCATGCCAGTCTCAGGGGCTGGCCCAGTGGTCCAGTGGCTAAGTTCGCACGTTCTGCTTCTCAGCCGCCCCCAGTTCACCAGTTTGGATCCTGGGTGCGGACATGGCACTGCTTGGCACACCATGCTGTGATAGGCATCCCACATATAAAGTAGGGGAAGATGGGCACGGATGTTAGCTCAGGGCCAGGCTTCCTCAGCAAAAAGAGGAGGACTGGTAGTAGTTAGCTCAAGGCTAATCTTCCTCAAAAAAAAAAAAAACAAAATTCATGCCAGTCCTGACTTTAAACCTGAGACCACTCTACCTCACTGAACTAATTCTATGAGAAGGCTTCTACTTAGAGTAAAAAGTGGTATTTTAGCTAACCAAATGTTTAATGTAAGACATAAAATATGTATCTTCAATCGAATATGACAACCCATGAATTCTCCCACTATTTCCTAAAGTATTAACTTGTTAATCTCCCATAATTTTAAAGTACATAGTGATGTGCTTACACTCAACAAACTTTATATAAGTTGTAAGAAATCAGACAGGAAATGCAGAGTGGCTGCTTACCCGTGCCGATAAGTTTTGTCCATCAACGTGAGCCTGCATCACAGCATCATTAACAAGCAAGTGGAAGTTCAAGAGCACGTGTTCAATGTCATATGTTCCATGCATGGCATCTGACAGCTCTTCCAACGACCGGATGTACGCATGCCAGTGTGGATTAAGCTCTGCCACGTGTGCCAAGCAGCCTCTCATGACGTTGAGACAGTACCCCATACAAGGCTTACTGAGAGTCAGGCCCTGGCAGTGAGGGCAGTACTCCATCCTCAGAAGGACTCTGCCGCACTCTTTGGAGAAATACAGGTGGTCTGTGGTATTGATGACTTCAATGCCCAGATTCAGTGCCTGCAGAAATGTGCGGCTGGGCAGCAGCGACCTCCCCATTTGCCCCATCACTCTTTGGGGAATATTACCAAATGGACTAACGTCCCTGCGGGCCATCCGGATGCATTCTGAGTATTCCAGGCTGCTTTCAGTCACACCAGGGTTAATGAGATGATTGTAGACTAGAGGGAAAAGACTGTCAAAGAATCTGTTTACAAATTCTTCAGGATTAACATCCGCACCAAATAAATAGAGCCCTACATCAGTGAAGAACTCCTGAATTGAAGCAGCAGCCTCTAAGGCCATGTTCCTGTAGGTGTTGCAAAAAAGTATGCTGGTGTAATTTTCTGCTTGTCTGATGAGAGTTTCAAGGGTCTCTGTAAGAAAAGCAGAAGTAAAGGATGAAAAGGCTTAGTATTCATACTGAAACTGTTCATCCATCTGCTCCAGACAGTAAATGAACTTAATGCATTAAATTAACCTAAGTCTCTAACCGGAAATGCTCAATCTACTGAACCCAATTTAGCTCTCCAAGGATAATGGCTGGTCAACAGTGGGCACTACACACAACAGGCAAGTTTTATAGAAAAGTGTTTCCTAGAATTAAACACTTTTAAAAAGTATAGCAATCCAAAAGAAGGTATATGTATGGCAGTTTCTTACTTATTTTATTCCATAGTCATGCATAACCCAGCAATGATAGAAAAAATGGTGTCACTGAGAAAATAATTTCTGACCACAAGTTCATTATTTATAAAAGACTATGACATTAAATACTTGATTCAACACTTATTCTGTTTTTATAGTTTTTTTTTTTCTTTTTCAGAATGAATGCTAGTACGTTGTACACTAGTTACTGCAAAGAGAGGAAAAATTTCCAAAGGGAAACCTGACAATTCTCAGACCTCACAGCCTGTTCAAATTTAAAAGAAAGCAAAACATTTCACAATTAAACTGCTCCTCAATTGTCAAGTGGTATTAACTGTTGAAAATAAATAATTGTATGACCACCTTCTCAACTGCCTTCTGATGTTCTTATCATCTTATGTTCAAAGACTTAACTGTAGGACATTTTATTTTCTTACTTAAGTAACAGATGCTTCCAAATGAATTTATCCATCAAGAAAACCGAGAATAATTATACACAAATCAAGGGAGAAATCTAAAAATAGGAGGTTTTAGTATTCAGCAAGTAAAAACTGTATTTCAAAATGATAGCTTTAGGCAGCAGTAGACCACCTTGGATAATCTAGTAATTAAGTTTTATAATTAGCCAAAATAAAGACACTGGACTGTATCAATACATAATTATAAAATACATCAATAAAATTAACTTCCATAACCCCAATCTCATAGTTATTTTTAATTAGGTTATAAAAGACCACACAATAGCACAGTAATCAAACCATTGAATATATTATAAAAAGAGATGGAACGACAGTAGAATAAAATGAAATAATAAAAAGCAGAGGTGCAGGGAGAGCTACTGATGAAGTGGAATTGCGTTATGAATATGCCATAGCATCCAAAAACAAATAAACAAAAGAATACTTTCATGAAGAGCACAGACAGATAAAATACTATACAGTTATTTGTCACTTAATGACAGGGATACATTCCGAGAAATGCACCATTAGGCAATTTTGTCCTTGTGTGTACATCATAGGGCCTACTTACACAAACATAGATGGTAGAGCCCACTACACATCTTGACTATATGGTCTTAATCTTATGGGACCACCATTGTATATGCGGTCCATCGTCGGCATTGTTATATGGCATATGACTATATCATGTATTCTGATTCTGTTCTGAGAATAATTCATGTTGGGTTCCAGGCTGTAGTGTGATATATCAAGGGGCGTGCTAAAGACTAAATGTTTGTGTTTCCCCCAAAATTCGTATGTGGAAACCTAATCTCCAAAGTGATGGTATTTGGAAGTGGGGCCTTTGGGAGGTGATTAAGTTATGAAGGTGGAGCCTCATGAATGGAATTAGTGCCCTTATAAAAGAGACCCAGATAATCTGAAATCCAATCAACGACGAAAACTGTAAACAATTGTTCTCTACACATTTGATTCCTTAATGCTTAGGGATAAACATACTTTTGTGACTTTTGGTCCTAATGGCTTCATAAAATTTTAATATATAAATATTTATATCAGAAACTGAACAATCTAGAAGCCAATACATTGGATGATTTTCTTAATAATTTTTTTGTGAAAAGTTTTTTGTGAAAAGTTGATAAAATCAGAAGTTAAATATACTAAAATTAGTTGTTTGTATTGACTCTGAACTTGCAAAACTCTCACTTTGTTCATGTTTACCATGAAGTTGCGTTTCCATTTTATGCAATTAACATTATGATTTTAACAAGAGCTTAAATTTGTCAAAAGAACAAAATATTTTGCTGCTCTGCAAAAGAATAATCCATATATAAAATCAGTGTTTATAAATTAAAGGAAGGTTAGGTGCTGAATAATCCATCATATTTACTTAATTATTACAGAGAAACTATACAGTTCTTTTCATTACAAAGTTTTAATAAATAAAAAATACTCTTCACCCACACTGTACAAGTAACAGCTTTCTATTGATGTACCAAAAATTGTAGCATATACTGAAAAGAAATAAAAATTTGCTAGGCTTGCTTAGGAATTTAAAGAATAGACTAGAAAAAAAATTATCTTGTTTTTCATTGAGGATTTTAATAAACTCTTCTTTCAGTGATATCAGATGAAGCCCATCAAGGCAGAAAACTTCCAAGTTTCCTTTTAATGCCTAAGAGTGGTACATCAAATAAAAAGCTGCAATCTAATTACTGATTGAATAAAACATAATTTCTCCCAGCTTCATGAGAAAATTAATTTATGTGCTATATCGTTAAGTAGGAAGTGAAGTTGAAATGCATGAAGTTTATCTGCATCCACTTCAATTTTCAACATTAACATTCTATGAAAATTTAATAACAAAACACCTATAACTAGAAACTTTATATCAACTTTTTCCATATTCCCTTCAGAGACATTTTATTATATATACAAATGATTGCTGACGCTTAATTGAAGGATTTAAACTTAAATAAAATTGGTGGCGATAAAATCAGCAATATCAATTTAAAATTAAATTTGACAAATTGCAAAATCAGTAAAGATTCATATGCAGGTAGATTTTTGCAATGAGAGAAACAATATTTATAGGACTTTTATTGTTTTAAAGATAAAGTTGATTCCAAAACGTAATGATCTTGAAACAACAGCTATAATAACCTCCCCAGCATGATGTGAACAGATATTTTATGACTCTTTTCATATTTTTTACTTTTGATATGTGAACATTTTGATACAAAATTTGAAGTGTCTATTACAATTTAAGACCACAGATATACTCAAACATAGCAATGAAATAGATGAAGAAAGATTAAATCATATCGACCATGGCTAATCAGATATTTTACAATGTGTATCTGGTTTGAAGAGAAATTTTCAGAGTAAATTTACATATTTGTGCACTGTAATTCTCAAATTACAGATTTTGTTACTGCAGCAGATAATTAATTACTACCCTGCCATTTCAGAGCTAGTTTGTGGCAGAAACTATGTATGCCTCTGTACTGAATTATGGATAGATGAATAGACAGGTAGATCATCTGAAGAGCAATTTCTCACCTAGTTTTTATCACACACATTATAATAATGAATTGTAATTCCTTTTGAATTTTTTTTAACAAAAATGTCTTCGAATAATTTTAATACAACCACATTTAATAATTCCTTTAATTATCAGAAGACCATCACAGCAACTCTGAAGATAGGCATATTTAAATAAAAGAAAGAATTACCTATTTCTCCACTCTGGAAGTGTTTATACTGAATTCATCCCTATGATCTTTGCATATTTCCTCAATTTTTTTGTAAAGTAAAATGTATAATAAAAGTTTTCTGGAATATTAATTTAATGACATTTTTAAATGTTATGCAGTATGATTTACAATATCATTCTTCAGAAATTAGTCATCTATACAAATAAATAATGAGTGGGATATTAATCTGTATCACCACAAATTAACATACTAGTCATTAATCTGGTCTCCTAGGACAAGCACTGCATGGTAAAATGCTTTCTCAACTTTTCTCCTCCCTCATTTTCTTCCTCATTAATTTGGTTATCATGGTGCTTCACATTTATTTCTAATATCATTTTACAATCATTTATGTTCTGAAAATCTATTTATGATTTTAGCAAGGATCTAAACTCAATTAAGCACTTATGTAACAGATAAAATCAGTGGCAAACAATTCACTGTAGATTGTTTCACGAATTTTTATGGGGGGAAGATTTTAAACCAAATCTCCTAATAATCTTTAAAATAAACCCAGAAACACAATTTAGAAATAGAAAAAGTGATATAAAACTCAGTGATTTTAGTGACATTCTCACTCGCTAATTTATATAATCTTCTATTTTTATACAGAATTAAAAAATCAATATCCTTTATTGGTGGTTCTTCTTCCTCTTTTGTTTTTTTGTTAATTTCATACTCTAAGACATCATTCTCCTTTACTTAAATAAACAAAAACCTCTATGTCACTTTACCTCATAATCTCTGCCCTCATTTTCTCTTTTTGACATCTCAAGAAAATGAGATGTTGCATATTTTCAGTTTATGTTGACACATTGCTCATTCCCTCTTCGATCTATTCAAGTCCACTTTCTTTTGCCACTCATTACTGCATCCATCCATTCAATATTTTTTGAGCACCTGTTATAGCCTTTAAAGCTAAAGTTGAACAAGCTATACAAATTTCTCTCCTCATGAGGCTTAGACTCTAAAGGGTAGGAGAGAAAGTATAAAAGCAAACAAGTAAATAAATATGATTTGTGGTAAGTAAATACTATGGAGGAAAAAAAGAGTAAAGGATATAAAATGATGGTAGCATGTCTTGGATGGCTCAAGGTCAATTTGTTCATAACCAATTCATTAAAAGGAAATTAATCAAAGGTAAATTCCCTGATTAATCTATTCCCAATAGCAAAGTTTCTGAATTTACCAAGTATATCCAAACTATATATAATGTTTCGTTATTTGGCAAATTTAAAAAATCTGATTTTGGGAAACTGGTTTGGGCAATTTGATTTTTTATAGATTGACCATTCGAGATAAGATAAGCAAGAAAACCTTCTCTGAGGAAGCAACGTTTGAGGAGAGACCTCAATGAGGAAAAAGAGAGCCAGCCATGAGAAGATAAGGAATGGTTTGCAGGTTCAGAGGAACTGGAATGCAGGGTTCTGATGTGTGAAGAAGCTTGTTGACTTTGAAAAAATAGAGGAAAGTCAATGTGATTGGAAACAAGTGAATGAGAGTAGGGGAGAAAGG